GGCCTGGTGCCCACAGGCTGTGCAGATCCCTACTTGTCCCTCAGGCCTGCCCTCTTTGGGTGAAGACTTTGAGTGCTGACAGCAGGCAAGCCTCAGCCCTCTCCTCTTCCCTCTGGATCCTCTCTCCTCCCACTTGGTAGCTGTCCTTCCTCACTATGCCATTCCAGGCCTGGGTGCCTGTGAGCTGGAGGGCTGGGATGCTGGCCTCTGTAGGGTAGAGGGTCAGCATGAGAGCTGGTACAGAGAAGGCCTGGAAAGCAGGGCAGAGGCACAGTCCCAGAGAGACAGAAACAGAGACAGAGAAGAAAAGACCGAAAGACAAAGACACATCCTTTATAGCTGCACAAGCTCAGAGAGAGGCGGAGAGAAGGGGCCCTGCCTTCAGGAGCGGGCACTCAGAGGGTTATGTGTGTGTGTGTGTGTGTGTGTGTAAAGGGGTGACTGGATGGGGCTGGCAGCTCTACTGGAAAGAGTGTGTTCATCTGGAGGAGGCATGTGCATGTGTGCTAGGGCCATAGGCAGTTGTGTGTGCACAGCATGTCCCTGAGACGCGGCTCATACACAGAATTCCAGTGTGTGCAACAAAGAATCAGTGTAAGGAGTGAGGCAGTGTTTAATAGGGCTGCTGACGGTGTGTCTGGTGTTTGGTGAGGCCTGCCGGTGGCCTGTCTGTAGTTCATCGGGGGTTATTTGGGTGGCATGCAGGTGAACAGGAGAGTACAAAGCCCCCCTTTTTGGAAACCTCAGCTGGGCTTCCCGTACCTCACTGACACTCCATGAATCTGTCCCAGGGTCTGGGAGGTGGGAAGGAACCACCCTCCCTACATGAATGTACTTCTTGCAGAGAATCGTACAACTCAATCCCTTGGGACTTGATTTTCCCAAGTTCCGGCCTAGGCAACGAAGGGAGCGGGTGTGAGGAGGGAGGGGGAGAGAATGCCGAGGGCCAGCAGCTAGGCCCCAGTGAAGTTCTCCGTGTGCCCCTGTGCCCTGGACAATTTGAGGTCAAGGTCATGGTTCAAAGTGAGGTCAAGGTAGGCAAAGGGGTCAGACTAGGCTTTAACCCCAAAGCCTGCCTTGAAGGAGGGGGGCTGAAAGAAGAAATCCAAGGGAGAAGCCAGAACCAGGGCAGGTAGCTGGGGAGGGTGTGGCTGGCAGCAGGGGGACAGGCCTGGGCAGAGAGGTGGCAGTGGGGTGGGGAGGCAGAAAAGGCCCAGGTCCAGACAGCTTGCCTGGGAGTAGGGCACGCAGCACCTAGTGGTGAATAAGAGGGAGGCAAGGGGGAGAGGAAGGGATCCCAGAGTCTGAGAGACCTCCCATCGCAGGAAAGCAGTGGAAGGGGGAAAGAGTAGTCTCCCATTTCTCTGACCTGCTGTCCCTTCTTGGCTGGGCTGTCTAATGGAGGGAAATTGGAGGCTGGAGTCTGATGCCAAAGCCACACTCACCTGGAGTCTGGGTCTCTCTTCAATCTCTCTCCCCCCGGTCTGTGGGAGGGAGCGTGGTCCAAGATGGAGTCTGGAACTTCTCCCTGGGACTGGCTCCTGGCTCCTGCTGCTGGGTCCCTAGCACCTTAGAGACATTCATGTTGAGAAGGGCAGTCTTGCTCCACCTCTTGGGGGGTGCTCCAGGGGCCTGAGTGGGTAAGGCAGGCATCTCAGAACCACTGTATGGTGGAGGAGGGGAGCGGGAAGGGGAGCATGTGCTGCCCGGGCAAGCACAGGCCTGAGTGCGTGCATGGGAGAGCAGAGGGGTGTGTGTGTGTGTGTGTGTGTATGTGTATGTGCGCAGGTTCGGGTGTGCTTGCTCACACGTGCATGAAACCCTGGTGTCTGTGTCCACTTGGAGCTCTGTGTTTATGACACTGGTGCGTTGTATATTTGCTTTATCAAGACTGCAGGGAACAGAGAATGATGAGAGGGAAGGGAAGCTTTGCCCCTCTCCCCATCTTGAGGAGATAGCTGTGGTCCTGAGGACCTTGCCCTGCTAGTCCTCCAAACTTGGGGACAGTGTCTCTGGGGCAAGGAGCCCAGGCTGCCCCCTACTCAGTCACATGGAAAAACAGGGCAGGCTGGCACAGGAAGAGAAAGAGATTACTTAGAAGAAACTGAAAAAGAGAGACTCAGAGACATAAGCAAGATGAGAGGGAACTACAAAGGCTAAAAGGCGCAGACACAGAGAGAATCCAGCCACTGGGAGAGGCAAGGAGAGTGAGCCGGCAGGCCCGGTGGTGAGCAGGCGGCAGCGAGGCCTCCTTCAGGAAAAAACCCTAGCCGACTGCCTCCCTCCCCTCCCCTCCTGGTCTCTCCTGCTTGGGCTCGGGCTCCAGCTCCAGGCCGACACAAACGGGGCTTTGATTGCAACAGGAAACCTCTCCGGCGGGGGGAGCTGGGCAAGCCGCCGCCACTGGGGCCCAGGCTGCACCCCCCTCTCCTGGCCCCCTACCCGGTCCCAGCCCCCACCCTGCCCAGCACTCCTCAGCCCTGCTTTGGGCCCCGTCCCTCCTTCACACCTCCCTATTCCTCTGCTCCACTGCTGCCCCCTCCACCAGAGACCCTTCCCATCACCCTTCAGGTGGGACTCCTAAGTTAGGGCTTACCCTTGGGGTGGGGCCCTGTTTGCTTTGAAATATCCCTCTTCAGTTTTTTGAGGGAAGGTTTTGAAGGAAAAGCAGAATTTAGCATGAGGAATTCTGAGTCAGGTATCCTCCAGCCCCTTCCAGAAGGTGGCAGGAGGGAAGCAAAGGAGGGATGCTGAAGGAGTTAGCTGTCCCTACCCACCACAGCCCCTAGTTGGCCAAACTCATCCTTGCCAGGGTGGTGGAAGTTCTGAGGGGTAACCTCGCCAGACTCGGTGTGAATGGCCTCGTCAGTGGGGGAGGTGTACAACTCTTCTTTGCCACTGGGGCCATGCCTTTGTGGGGCTCTAGCTGGGAGGGGTGTGCCGTGGTGGTGGGGATCATAGGGAAGGGGGTGAGTCAGGCAGCAGCCCCCCCTCATACTCCCACCAGGCTGGTGGAGAACATCTGGTTCCCATGAAATGCTAGAAGGCTAATGGGTCTAATTGCTGCAATAAGGGCTGGGGGGACTTTGGGGGAAAGAGGGGGCACTAGATTCCCTCATCCTTTTACCTTCTCCTCAAGGCTGTACAAAGACTGTCTAGAATGGGGTCTTGAGGTTTGGGGATTAGGGTGAGTTTGACACTCCAAAGCCTGGTCCCTTCTAAGGGCCCCTCTCCCTGCAGTGCCTGGGAAGCACACACAGATGGGGTGATGAGGAGTGGGGTGCATCTGGTAAAGAGAAAGGGGGGCTATTGAGGACTCATGACTTCCTGGAGCCCTCCCCCAACTCCTCCTGTGCCCCACTCCCAACCCCCCTCCCTGTGGCCTGGCCACTTCTGGTTCTAATTACCAACCAGGCAGGCCTGACTTAATTGGGACCTTTCAGATTTCGAAGGGGGGAAGGGTGGCGGGGGTGGGAGAGTAGGGGGGGGTGGAATGACATCCTAGAGTTGACTGATCAGGACTCTTCCCCCTTGTTTTGGGGATACTCCTTATTTTGCACTGAAGTGACTTTTTTGCCACTAGCCAGGTTCCATTCAGAAATCTATCGCCCCTTTTTTCTTTTTGTGGGGGATGGCTGGATTCAGAATGGGGTATTTGGGGCTGGGGGTAAGTACAGGATGCTCAGGCAGGATTGGAAAGAGCACTGCATTCCCTCTGCATCCCTGCATCGAGCCCCCTGGTCGGCCCTGCCACCCCGCGCCCCCTCATCCTCCAGCCAGGCCCTCCTTCCCAGCCCTGCCCCCCTCGGTCCCCAGCAGCCACCCTGGCCCCTCCTCTGCGCCTGCCTTCCTTTCCCT